GGGTCCGGGACTCGAACCGTGGTCGACTACATGGGAGTCCAGCGACATAGCCATTACGCTAACTGCTGGTCCCTGGGCATCCTTTTCTTCACCAGAGTGTTTTTCAAGCAGATTCAGGTCAACAGGACACTTGGGTGCTCCATTGAATGTTTGCACCAATTGGAAATTTCTGGTTCCCATGGACCTCACTTGAGTCAGGACTTTTGAAGTATAAGGATCAGGAGCCAAGGACTTGGAATAGTTCAGAGGGGTCTGGCCCAGCCACAGTAGCATAAAGGCCTAGGAAGGGAATATTTGGAGGGTCCCTCACTCAATCATTAAGAAAAAGATAAGGTAGAAAGGTGAGTGTCAAGTCTAGAGACCCCAGGTTGGGTGAGGGGACAGCCAGGCAGAAGGTGGTGTGTGGAAGGCATGGGCTTGTGTGCCTGCTTGATCTACTTTTGAACCTATTCATGACTGTCAGCATTTCAGAGTTGGTCAGAGGAGTGAGGGGAGGAGAGGTAGGGGAGGCAGGAGGGGAACTTGGGAATGTTTTTCTTTTTAGGGGAACTTGGGAATGTTTTTCTTTTTAATTTCTTTCCTAGAGGATGTATGCATTGCCCAGAGAGAGAGAAAGAAGTGACCCTCCCTCCCAGGGGAATGCTCACGCCACAATCCCCTCTCTTCCACTTGTCCTTTCTGGATTTGGGGCATGCATGTACACATGCCTAGAGTGTTTTTCAAGACTCCTAGTCTGGGACTCAAACTATGCAGTTGGCCTTGTGAGATCCAATCACCCTTAACCACCATGCTGCCAGCTGGCCCAGCTTGGGAATTTTAACCTTTTCCCCATCCCTCCTCTCCTATGCCCCAAACAACTCCTTCTAAGGAATCTCCTACAGGCCATGGGTGGGGACCCAGGGCTACTCCTTCTTTAGGAGTCCCTGGCTAGGTTATTGGGAGCCCTGAATCCCCTGGGGTTTCTCCCTTTCTTCTAAGTCAGACTTGTGGTACAATATCTAAGGATGTGAAGAGTAACACCACCAAGTTTGGATGGGATGTCCTCACTAGATGACATCAGGACAGTGCCTGAGGTGAGGAGGAAAGCTAATTACCAATTGAGAGAGTGCCAACGAGTTTTATCAACTGATAAGATCTGTGAACGAGGCGATTTGTCAGCAGTGGTATAATTTATTAACTAGAGAGTCCTGGGCAAATAGAGATTATAAATTAGTATAGAAAAAATGTCTGAAGGCATTGAGTCGAGAAACTATTCAATAAGTTAGAGTTGATAGTGTAGGTTAAATGATTACTACCGACACTGCAGATCACCAGTGCTAATGCCAATGTCGGGAAGTTATTACCAATCCATCCAGTTTTATGTAAAATATTAAACCCTAACATTTGGCATCCCTCACCCCCTCCGCATCAGACCCAGGGTGCTTCCACCAGGTTATCAGCAACATGGATTTGTTCCCAGGCACTACACAGCGACAGCACCTGCTGGGTGGTACTTCTTTATTTCATCATCCAGGAAGAAGACAGGCGTGGGTACGGGCGAATACTGTGCGGGCTTCAGCTTCCACTGGGGATAGGATTCAGGCCTTCCGGAGCCGCAGTGACTGCCAGGTGCACATCCCTGGCTCCCTTGGCAGGCAGGCAAGGTGGCGGCTCTGGTAGCCCTTCTCAGAGCCAAGGAGGAGCTGGTCCGTCCACAAGCAATGAGTGTCACTCTCCAATTTGCAAGGGATGGATAAACAGGGAAATACCTGGAGGGGAGGAAGGAGATATATCTCTGGGTTTCTCCTCTCTGTACTTCCCCTATGGGACAGAACATCCCCTCTTCAGCTTTCAACAGTGAACTGCAGAGGAGACTTTCTGTCACCCAACTGGAGTACATATGCAAGAACAGCCCTCCCATTGAGAGAATAATTATTGGACTCTGGGGTGTCAGTAAGCCAGTGAAAGGATCAGTGTCCTGGAATGGTGGATGGGAAACAGTTATTTGGGTCAATCAGACCTGTTGCCTGAGGAATTGTCCCACAGGAAAGAGAACAATTGGCAGTAGTAGGGAATGGTCGATGGGTGGGGAGCTTAAGCACAGGAATAGCCAGTGGGGTTCCAGGATAGTCACTGGGGTCAAAGGACATTTGGGACCATCAGGGAACAGTCTTGGAATAGCCAGAAAGAAGGTCAATGTAACACTCCCTAGCGTGTGCGACAGTCAGAGCTCCAGAGTCACAATCAGATGTGCTGAGGAAGAGTCCGTGGATTTGGGGAATAGCATTTTGGGTTCCTGAAGAACACTCTAGGGAGCAAGAAACAATCCCAGGAGGTCAGGGACAGACAGTGGGACTACAAGATAGTCACAGGGAAGAGGCAGAGTGACGGGAAATAGCCAGAAGGCCCAGGGCACAGGTAATCCCAAGGTATCTGAATGTGGGGCAAAGAAACAACCAGAGTTTCCAAGGGAACAGCTCAGGTTTGGGGGAATAGCGAGATCAGTTTGGGTTGCAGCCACGGAGACAAGGAACAGCCAGAGGGAGCAAGAAACAAGGTCAAGGTTTGGGAAAGAATCTCAGGAATGATCTCCAAAAGGAGTGTGAGGCCCAGGCACTTACTGTGCATTCCTCACAGCCAGCAGCGTAGGCCTTGGTGAAGCCCCGGCGCTGGGCAAGGCTCAGACTGTTCCAGGGTGCCACGAAACTGCAGGTGGTGATGTGCAAGTGTCCGTTCCGCAATTGTCCTGGGGTGTGGGGGAAACGGGAGAGCAGAAATTAACAGGTAGCTTCTGATTGGCTGGGCCGGGGACAGGGTGGCCCCTGGCTGGCGTCCTTGGTGCACAGGCAGAGGCCCGCCTTCTGGTAGGCTGAAATCCGGGCGGTCCCCATCTCAGCGGAGACCATTCCCTTCAGAAACCTCGCCCCCTCGCGGTTGGCTAGGCAGCGTCTGAAGGGTGGGTTGGCGTGGCACGGGGCGAGGGGGCGGGCCCTCACCAGCAATGAGAAATTCCTCGCTGCGGTTCTGGGATGTGTGGAAGTATCCGCAGACGCTCTCCATGGCGGGGGTGTGGACGAACTGGAGGTCAGCGACATCTCCCAAAGCGTTGAACCCTTTGAAGACCTGTTGATGGATGAGGGGAAGAATCTCTTTTACTGACATAATCCTCCCACTCCACCTTCTCCCCTAATGTCATGCAGCATCCCAAGATCACAACCAACTTCGTTGCCAGCCAGTAGCCTGAGGCTTCCGTTTTGACAGGAAGATGTTAGGAACTGGTGGGAAAGGGGCAGGAAGGATACCTTGGTCGTCTTGATCTCATAACGCTGGTATAAGGTAGTCTCGTTGACTTCTGCAGGCCCCATGAACTTGGCTCTGATGACTGCAGGAGAGGAGAGAAAGAAAAGAGTCAAAAGGGCTGTGTGGGCCAATAAAAATAATAATCAACATAAACCAGCAAAGCGCATACATAAATAGGGATTACTGGGTGCCAGACAGTATACTAAGGAATCTAAACATTTGTTAATTGATTCATCTCTCTATCGTTTACTCCTTGGTCAGGCGCTGTTTTTAGCCTTTTTTGTATATTCATTTGTTCATTCACCTATCAAATATTTCAGAGTGCTACTGTGTGCCACGCACTGTTCTGGGTGTCAAGGACACAACCGTGAACAAAACATAGAAATCCCTTTTTATATGGAGCTCACATTCTAGTCAGGAGAAGACAAACTAAAAACAAATGAAATATGTAAGTACATGGATAGTTAGAAGATTTTAAGTTCAGTGGAGAATTATAGAGCTGGGTAAGAGAGTGACAAAAATTCTGTACTGGACCAAACTTTAGTGAGACTCCTAAACCTTCCCCTAGGCCCATCTGTGTACTGTGTAAAATCCAGTTTTAGCAAAAAGCCCTGCTAAGTCCGTTTAACACATACCGTTGATATCTAATCATATTCCTCAATATCTGCTCAGGTTCCTCATCTTTCATCTTCTTCTAGATAATGTCTGATCACCTGGCCTGTTTGCAGCACTAAGGTTCCTGTTAGGTTGGTGTAGCCAGAATCTTCCCCTTCCCCTAATATTTCCTCTCAGTAATTTTCCATATTCACTGACCCACCCTGCTCCCTGGCTATAGATTCCCATGGGCCCACACTGTATTCAAAACTGAGCTCAATCCCTCTCTCCCATGGCAAAATCCCATTGCAGTGGTCCCTACACCTATTGCTATGGTCTTGAATAAAGTTTGCCTTATGGTACTTTAACAAGTATCATTGAATAATTTTTTTCTTTACCATGGGAGAAGGAGTACTAGGGAGCAGGAGTTAAAGTTGTAAACAGGCTGGTCAGGGAAGGCCACTTTGAGAAGGTGATGTTTGAGACAGTCACCCATGTGGATACCTGTGGGGAAGGGTGTGCCAGGCAGAGGGAGCAGCCAGCACAAAGGCCCTGAGATGGGCCTGGGCCTGGTGTAATCAAGGATGTGTGAGGATGCCAGTGTGGCTGAAGCAGAGTAAGTGCAGGGGTGAATGGAACTGTTCTAGAGGTAAGCGCCATTGTGAACCCCCGCTGTGCTGAGACGAACCCAAAGCAAAGTGTGTAAGCAGGGCAGGGTATAGACTCACCCAGGTCAGAACTGCAAAAGGCCATCTGTGGATGGGGTGGCACACAGGTGCAGGCCCTGCTGGGGGCTGTCAGACACAGTAACAGCAGGATGCTGGAGGCCAGGGGCACAAAGGGGGCCATGGTGGGTTCTGTGGGGAAAGGGGAATGTCAGATGGCCCCCAACACAGCTGATCTGCTAGCCAGGCAGACCTGCCATCCAATCCTGACGGAGGGATTGGAAATCTCTGGAAATCCAGGGGGTCCTCATTTCAACTGAGACCATTCAGGACAGAGATTAGGAAACTGGGTTCAAGGTGGAGAGGTTGGGGAGTTTAAGAAGAGTTTAGGGAATTGGGAGAGCTTAGGAGTTTATGGAGTCAGTGATTTAGGAGACTGAGTGAGTTGGATTCTGGGGTTATGGTGTTTGGGAAATAAGGGGGATGGGCAGTTTTGAGGATTTAGGATGGCTGAAGAAGCCTGGAAGTTGAGGCGTTTCCGGGGGGGGGGGAGGAATATGGAGTGTGGGGGCTG